CCACAAGGGTGGCCCCGGCGAGCACCTGTCAGAACCTGATAGGCGCAGGGAGGGTAAACAACACCACGCTGCGGCTGACGCGGCCCCGACCCCGAAGCCAGCTGCGGCCGCTGCTGCTGCGGAGGCTGCTGGGAGGAGAGGGGCTGCTGCTGCTGCTGCTGACGCTGGGCCCGGTACCACGCCGCTGCTCCACCCACCGGGGCTGGCAGTACAAGGGGCGACTGACGAACGCGGGCGTCGCCACCACCAGCAGTCGCAGTGGAGTCACCGGTCGCTGCACGAGACGTCAGGCCCTGCACTCCCACCACCGCCAGTCGCAACGCCACCCCCACTACCTCCGCCTCCACCAACGCCGCCGCCAGCACCGCCCCTCTTGCCACCCCTACCGCGGGACCGCGACGAAGTCGTAACAGCAGCTGCGGTCGCGTCAGTAGCGGCAGTGGCGAGAGAGGCAGTAAAGGTGGGCAACTGCGGAACTGTGCACCCGTGGAAGAGCGGGGGGGGCACAGCACCAGAGGCAGCGGCGACGGAGCGGAGGTTGCTCTCGACGTCCTTGAGTGCAGACTCAAGGACGTCAACAGTGAGCTCACTAGGGTGCTTCAGGAGAAGCGCGTCACGAACGGAGGCAAGGCGGTCGGGGAGGCTAGTGGCGATAAAATAGATAGTAATCGCCATGGGAGGAGGAAGCAGTGCGAGCTGTGCCTCAGTGCAAGCAGCGCGGTAACTAGAGTCGAGCGAGCGGAGGTGAGCAATCAAGTCAGCAGAGCGCTCAAATGAGGCGAGGTCAGGGAACAGGAACGGGAGGAAAAGGCGGCCAAGAGAGACAGCAGCAGGAGTGGAGTAGCGGGCCTTAATCGCAGTCAGGTACTCAGCAGCAGTGCGAACCTGAGCAAAGTGAGCCTCCTCAGACTCAGGGAGGAGGGTGCTGAGCGCGATGCAGGCCGCAGCGTCACGCGACGTCCAAGCTGTCAGGTCAGCGCGCTGGCTAGCGAAGCGAGCTCTAGCGGCGTCGTCAGGGGCAGGACCTAAAGGCGTAGGTTCGGGGGGCGCAGGGAGGGCACCAGTAGCGTGCGCCCAGAGGGTCTCGCCTGACTGGACCTGACTCTCTAACTGACGGCGAGCGCGCATAAGCCAGAGTGAAAAGTCAAGAGGTCTACCGTCAGCGTCGAAACGAAGTACACGTGGAGTCGCCATAGTGAAAACTAACGGAAAAGCGGTGGCAGGAAACCCTAAACGAGGTGGCGTGGCGAAACTCGGGCGGGAAAGGGCGAAACGGGAAACCCTAAACGAGGCACAGGCGCAGCTAAACGGGGGGGCGTTAAGGGGCAGCCGCACGGGGGCTAAGGGCAGCCGCGCGGGCGCGGGGGCGGGCGTTAAGGGGCAGCCGCGCGGGGGCCGACGCGACGAGCAGCGAAGGCGGGCGCCGCGGCGACGGGCGCAGGCTGCGGGCGCGACGTCGGGCGCCGCGGCGGGCAGCGACGGCGGGCGCCGCGGCGACGGGCGCAGGAGCGGGCGCGACGGCGGGCGACGGGGGAAGGCGCAGCGGCGGCGCGCGTAAGGGGGGGACGGGCGACGGGACGACGGGCTGCAGGGGGGGAAACGCGACTCGACGGGCAGCGGGGGGAAAACGCGACTCGACGGGCAGCGGGGGGAAAAACGCGACTCGACGGGCCTCGGAGGGGGAAAACGCGACGGGCCAGCAGGGGGGAGGAAGGTCGCTACGCTACTCGAGTAGGGGATCGGCGGAACGGGCGGTAACGAAGGAACGGGACGAGAGAGGGCCAGCGCTAGGCTCGGGCAAGACGTGCGTAAGTAATACGAGAGAGGGAGACAGGCTCGGGCGATACGAACGAGGTCGGGAGGAACGGGATCCTACAGGATCCTAACCTAGGTGATACCATGTCTAAATCGGAAGTGTTGGTTCATTGATGGTGGTTGGGGTACAAGTAGCAAACCCTAACATACGTACCCCCTAAGACAAACCTCACTACAGGCTACCAACATTTGACAGTGTCCCACACCCCTTTCACACTCCCCCTGTGATAATGCGTCCTGTACCCGGGGGCGCCACGATGGACGACGGGGGGAGCGCGCGGGTCTCTGAGGGCGCCACGACGGACGACGGGGGGAGAGCGCGGGTGCCCGAGGGCGCCGTGACGAACGACGGGGGAGTCCGCGGGTCCCCGGAGGCGCCACGACGGACGACGGGGGGGAGCGCGCGGGACGGAGCACGAAACCGCCACGCGTGCCCGTGGCGCATGGCGGGCAGGAAACCGCCACGCGCCCCGAGCGCGTGGCGGGCAGAAGACCGCCACGTGCCCCGAGCGCGTGACGGGAAGAAAAAAGAATGTCGCGCGCCCCGAGGCGCGCGAAAGTTAGGATGGCAGCGGAAGCAAGCGGGCCCACAGGCCAGGAGCGGAACCGCTTTGATACCATGTTGAAATAGTATATAGAATGCAGGAGCCATAGTTATAGCTAGCTAGGCAAGAGAGAATAGGCAAAAGAGAGGAGGAGTGCACTAGCAAGCTGAAAGGGTGCAAGTAGCAAGCCCTAAAAGGGTTATACTCACTATTGAGTACCCCACTGCAGACTGACAAACATAATATTCTGACAGCTTCCGCAATCACATCATTATTCTGGGTCTTAGTCTTGAAAACGATCATGAGGGCCTTTTTTCAGCCCAACACTTTCACCATCATCTCAGCACCCCCAATCTATCAACCTCACTCTTTCTGCTGCCTAGCTATACTTTCTGTATCTGCGGAATATAATAAATGCAATAACACATTTCTTTACGAGAACAGAACATGTATTAACATATTCTTAACTACATTTTCGAGATATTGATATTCAATACTCGGTTTGGGCAACGTCTCACATTTGGCGGAAAGCAAGCTGATCACAAGCGAGAACATGGCGCGGGGGTTTGGGGGACCGCGTTCGGCTGGCTGGTTTGCGCGTGTGTTGAGTAGTTCGCCGCCACCCTGACGCGTAGGTTCGTGTCAACCTCCCGCGTCGGCTTTGGCAAAAGAGGAGTGTCACCCTGACTTCCGAAAAGCCACAGATTTCAGCCGAACAAGTTTGTCGGTGCCTGGGTTATACTGATGTGTGGGTGGGCTGACGAACTTTGCCTACAGTACTGGCAAAACCACGTGGGAGGTACCTGCGCATGCCATCAATTTGACCCTGCGGATGCCATCAAGTTGACCCATACTTTTGCTACACCCAATGCTCTGAAACGTACGTGACCGTTTATTTTAATTTGCAATATTTCGTCACGGGAAATGATCCGAACTGTATTAGGTCATGGCTTGTACCCTGCGTGCAACTGGCCATATTGAATTGCAAATGAGAGAATCAAGGTGAGTTGGCGGAGAAAATTCACGTACATTTACAATGTATCTAGGCATCATGCGTCTATCTTTGCTCTTAGTCTCCATTCAAATGTGTATCTAGGTGTGCTTAGGTCAATCGGGTGTGGGGTGAGTTTGCGAGCTGTTGCGAGGCGTCGGAATACTGAACCTTAGAATAGTGCCACCTTCTCTAAATCTAGTTTTTTTAATATCGTTTTTGGGTTTTTTTATATTTGTTCCAGATTACTAATCGAAACCCCTACACTCAAAGTGCACATGCATGATTGTATGTCTTGATATGGCGATTAGGTCGCAATCGAGTATAATGACTGTTATTTCGTAACAATCTATTCAAGCTCCCCACGCTCATACTCGCTCGCCACAGACCAAGCCTATATATTATAGTAACAGATAGGAGAAAACAAGCACAGCGAACCTGCACAAAAAGAGCAACAAACCGATACACCCTCTTTTGCGCTACACTGGCAACGGGATTCACTGGCTATAGTGAAACTGTTCCTTGGACGTATTCGGAAAGTTTCATATAACCGTCTCTAGGAGGTCAGTGATTCGGAATTTCGTTATCCTGGGTACCCTACCGAGCCATATCAAACGTTCAAACGACCGTCTTCGAAAGTAACTAACCTCGTCAAACCGTACTGGTGCAAAAGTCTACTATAACGCGTACTCTGGCGCGTTGAGCCACAGGGGCCATATAGCCAATGACCGTGTAGCGCGAAACAGGGTGTACCCTGGTGTGTTTTGTCTGGCTTTTCAGACAACCCGTTGTTTCAAAACGACAAGATGAGCAGCATTACGGTACCTGTTGTTTTCCCCGTTGTTTACCCGTTGTTTTTTTCTGGCAGTAGGAGCAGCATTCTCATTCCCACCGATGCACACTACATGCACACTTAAAGAACGGGATTGAGCTCAAGCACTTCGCTTACCTCGCCAGCTTTGTTAACGGATAAACGCAGCGGTGTGGACCGTAATGCGCATATGGACGGATAAACGGGAAACCTTGTAACAATTTCAAAACATCTTGCCAAGGGACGGTTGACAAGGTGATAAGCAGTTGGATCTACGGCTACGATATACTGATGTGACTGTACGTGGAAAAAGCCGTTGTCCGTGCCCGAATTCAGGTGGGATAATATAAAGCGGGCCAATTCCATAGGACTGGGTTAGGATCGGCTGTACAAATCAAGTGTCACGCGTGGTTCTGTAGAATATCTTTGCGCGAGGGCACCACCGTTTCTTTCTGGTTCTTCTTGCCACGCCCGCGCCCTTTCAGTCGTTAAAGCAGATCAAGCTTGAACGTTGATATGAGGAAAAGACCACTCTGCATCTCTCGTATCATGGTCAGGCTGAACGGAAATTTGTTGTTTGGTCAGACAGCCGAGAATGTAACGGCGTGTTGCAATTGCCGGTGCACCGCATCGGCTTGGCACGTCTGGAAGGCTCCAGGCAGGCGGGAAGCCAAACACGGGCACTGATTCGGGAAAGAAATGTTTTAGGATAGTGATTTAAATAGTTATTTGCCAAGATTTTATTAGGACATAAGATGTTTTTGCGCGTTGTTTGAAAACTTCTTACGGCCTCCTGCTTTCCTGGAGCCTCCTTGAACCCGTGCCACGAGCCGAGCCGATGCAGTGCACCGCAAATTGCAACACGCCGTAAGCAAGAGCCCTAGGCGAAAAATCCTGCAAACTTCTGAAGCCGTTCCCCCTATATTACGTCATTATGTATATTTATTTATTTTTCTTTGTCCTTTTTTTTTTTCCTGATGAATTCCTCGTACGTTTGGTGACGGGCAAACTTCAAGTTTCCGCTACTCGGACTGCAGTGAGCTTCTCATCCCCACTATCCACGTACTACTAGTAGCCCGAGCCCATCTAGTTCACACTTCTGTGAGAACCTTCAGCACACCCCTTTCCCGCCGTGAGTTTCCACTGGCAGCCCTGAGTGCGCATCTATACCTAGGCCTTTCGACACTGCTCGAGTGCCGCACTATCTCTCACTCGCGGAGGAACATGATCAGCTCCATGCCACTCGCATCTTTCGGCTGCGGCCGCCGCAATGGGGCTGCAGCGCTGGTGACAACTCTGATGATCGCAGCAGGTGAGGACTGAAGGAGGTAAGCTTCGTATCATTATTGTAGCGTCGTTGCAGGTACTAATGACTCCTACTAATGGTGATCGTCGCTCCTGATGCTGTTGATCATCGCCCCCCCTCGCGTCCCCTCCTTTCTCCTGCTCTCCTCTCCCCCTCCTCCCCTTCCAGCCTTCATGCCTCACTCTAAGGCTGGTCGTCTGCTGCAAGAACTCTCTACCAGCGCTGGTGTGTGCCGCCATTTCTTTCCCAGCCTCTGTACATCGGACCTTTTGACCGGGTCTTTAGACTCTGCTGTGGAAGGTCCTCTCTGGAGTGGTTTGCCGTTAGACAGGGTAGCTGCGGGCATCTTGGGATGAAGTTGTGATGCCATGCCCATTCCACGTGGGCCGGCTATGTCAAATGTCGCACCAATCATGCTACTCTGTCCCCCCCTCTCTCTCCTCCCGCTTTCCCTCTTCTCCTCAGAGCCATGTACTGTAAACAACTGTGGAAAGAATGCCTTCTGTTACAAGAATGCAACAGGGAGTGACACGTGTCGTTGCAAAAATGGGTACACCATGACTCCCCATCATGGCTGCCAGGGTGAGTGATGCGGAGTCGCTGCATAAATGGGTGGTGTGTCTCTTGTCTCATCCCTCACCCGTTCTCCTTGTCCTACTTCAAACCTCTCCTTCCCTCCCTCCCTCTCCTTGACTCCTTTTCTCCCCATCTGTGGTCCTAGGCAGTGTGATCAGCTAGCAGTACTACAAAGCATATAAATGTTCTAAGACGTTATAGAAACACAGCAAAATCTTACCATCCCTCCCTCTCTGCAGTTCAATGTAACCACTTCAACGGCAGCTGCCCTGGCAATGCTACATGCCACCACCACGTCACTGGAGTTGGCGGCCTGTGCTTTTGTAACCATGGCTTCAGGATGATCAACGCCAGTTGCATCTGTATGTCACGTTATGTCCAATTCTGTATGAGGCTTTTCCCCAAACTCTCACTTTTCCATCTCCTTGCTCATTCCCTTTTCTTTTTCCAATTCGCCCTCCTTTCTTTGAGTGAGCTATCTCAACAGCAGACCCATCCTTCCAAAGTCCCACCATGTTTACTGCTAAGACCGAAGCCTTCCCCATGATCCGCAAGACCTGCTTCATTTCGGCCATTTATCTCCCCCCCTGCCCCCCTGCATGGAATCAATATCATTCCTATCAGTCGCCTGCGATAGGATAACCTGTCCAGACAACTCTAACTGTGCCGTGGACCCTGACGGGAACGCGGTGTGCAGCTGCAACGATGGTTACGACCAGATGCCAGACGGCACTTGCGTTGGTGCGTATTGGTGCTTTCTCTTGCGTACCCCGTTTCCCCCTCCATCTCCTGCAGTCCTCGTCTTTCAATTCTGCTCTCCTTGGAAGACCGTCTGACCTTTTGAATCGGTCTTGATTTGTGCTGTGGAAGGTCCTTTCTGGAGTGGTTTGCCTTGCCAGGGTAGCTGCGGGCATCTTGCCATGCAGTTGCGATGCCATGCCCATTCCAAATTGGCCTTTAACGTGTTCTCTCTCTGTCCATGTCGCACCAATGCTGCCTCTGTCCCTCCCTCTCTCTCCTCCTGCCTACCTCCTTCCCCTCAGAGGCTTGCACTGTGAACAACTGTGGAGATAATTCTTTCTGTTACAAGGAAGCAGGGGTTGATATGTGTGCTTGTAACGATGGGTACACCATGACTCCCAGTTATGGCTGCCAGGGTGAGTGTAGCTGGAGCCGCTGCATGTCTGGGTGGTGTGCGCCTTGTCTCATCGCTCACCCGTTCCCTTTGTCCTACTTCCAACCTCTCCCGCCCTCCCTCTACTTGTCTCCTTTCCTCCCTATCTTCCTGAGCCTTTTCCCTCATGCCTAACAAAGTATTCTAGAAACGCAGCAAGATCTCTCACCATCCCTCCCTCGCTGCAGTTACATGTGACGAGTATGGGAACGGCTGCCCTGGCAATGCTACATGCAACCACCAGGTCACCGGAGTCAACGGCCTGTGCTCTTGTGACCACGGCTTCAGGATGGTTAACGCCAGTTGCATCTGTATGTCGCAACCTCTACCATTCTGTAGGAGGCTTCTCCCCAAACTCTCACTTGTCCATCTCCTTTCTCCAATCTGGCCTCGTTTTCTTTGAGTGATCTATCTCAACTGCAGACCCATCCTTCCCCTGTCCCACCAGGTTTACCCTCAAATTAACCCTCTCCATCATCACCTCCCCTTTCTGTTATCCGTTCCCCCTTGGGTCTTTCTCCCTTTCTCCGTCCCTCTCCCCGCCTTCCTGCATGGATTTGATTCCACTCCTATCAGCCGTCTGTGAGATGACCTGTCCGGCCAACAGTTTCTGTGAAGTGGAACCTCCAGATAACGCGGTGATGTGCTTCTGCAACAATGGCTACTCTCGGCAGCAAGACGGCACTTGCGTTGGTGCGTGTTGGTGCTTTCGTTTGCATACCCGTTTCCCCCTACATCTCCCTCTGTCCGTGCCTTGGTAGGCACGAAAAGTACGTGTGTATGCAGGGCGGCATGGACTTTGGTTGGGACCAATTGGAACGACAGATGCAAGGGAAGTACTCAACACCCAGCATCACTGCAGTGCTCTCGCTCTCTCTCTGGACATATGGGCTGCTTACTCTTTCGAACTAAGAAACCAGTGCTGTCTGTGTGAGTCGGTTAGCCTGGAAGGCAACTTTGGCCGAATGATTAACCAGCAACTTGATGAAAGATTTTTTTTTTTTGTATCTCTCGCCCTCCCTGCTTCCAGAAAATTGTGACAACAAGATCTGCGGCAGGGGGGAAGAGTGTGTGTCTTATGAAGACGGGGCAACGTGTGAATGTCTGAATGGATTTGTCAGGGTTGCTGGGTCTTGTGTTGGTACGTTCTGCTTGTTCCACCCCTGTCTCCGCCCCTCTCCTCATGCGCTGGTTCCTGTGTCGGTTCGTTGTGTTCCACCCCATCACTGCTTGCATTTGCTTCATCCCATCCTCTTTCACGTGTCTTCTGCCACTCATACCTTTGGCTTTCCTCTTCGTTCCATGTTTGGTACTGGTGGTACTAGAAGGCGGTCTGACCTTTTGACTCGGTTTTTTAACGCTGCTGTGGAAGGTCCTCTCTGGAGTGGTTTGCCTTGCCAGGGTAGCTGCGGCCATCTTGCCATGCAGTTGTGATGCCATGCCCATTTCACATTGGCCTTCAACGTTTACCCTCTCTGTCCATGTCGCACCAATGCTGCCTCTGTCCCTCCCTTTCCTCCCCCGTCCCCCTCAGAGGCATGCACTATGAACCTCTGTGGAGAAAACTCCGTCTGTTACAAGGATACAGCAGGGGAGGCTGTGTGTGCTTGTAACGATGGGTATACCATGACTGCCATCGATGGCTGCCTGGGTGAGTGTAGCTGGACTCACTGCATGGCTGGGTGGTGTGCGTCTTGTCTAATCCTTCGTCTGTTCCCGTTGCCTTTCTTCCTCCAACCTCTCCCTCCCTCCCTCTCTCCTTGTCTCCTTTCCTCCCTCTCTACCTCAGCCTTTCCTCCCCTGCACTGCACTTAAATGTTTCTAAAACATTCTAGCAACGCAAAAGAGTCTTTCAACATCCCTCCCTCAATGCAGTTACATGTGACGACAACGAGGGCAGCTGCCCTGGCAATGCTACATGCCACCACCACGTCATCGGAGTCGGCGGTGTGTGCTTTTGTGACGTCGGCTTCAGCATGGTTAACGCCACTTGCACAGGTATGTCACGGTCCGTTCAACTCTGTAGGGGGCTTTTCCCCAAACTCACACACGTCCATCTCCTTGCTTTTTTTATATTTTGTCCAATTTAGCCCTCGTTTCTTTTGAGTGAGTTAGCTCAACAGCAGACCCATCCTTCTTCCAGAGTCCCATTATGTTAACCCCTAAGCACGAACCCCTACCCATCCGCACGTCCCGCTTCTTTTCTGCCTTTTATACCTTTACTCCCTCTCTCTGTCCCTCTCCCTGGCCCCCTGCATGAATTCAATTTCACTCCTACAGATGTCTGCGAGGAGATGACCTGTCCGGCCAACGCTAGCTGTGGCATAAACCCTGACGGGACAGCGGTGTGCATCTGCAACTATGGCTTCGACCATACTTCAGACGGAACTTGCGTTGGTGCGTATTGGTGCTTTCTTTTGCGTACCTTGTTTTCCACAGTTCCTGCCTTGGTAGGCGAGAACAGCATGTATGCACGCATGGCGGCATGCATTTGGTTTGGGACTAATTCGAACGACACATGCAAGGGAAGTACTCAACAACCAGCATCACCGCAGTGGTGCTCGTTCTCTTTGAACCAAGCAAACCAGCGCTGCTTTACTCTCTCGAACCAAGCAACAAGTGATGTCTTGTGTGAGCCGGTTAGCCTGGAAGCCAACTCTGGCCAAATGATTAATCAGCAGCTTAATGAAAGCCTCTCTCTGTATCTCTCCCCCTCTCTGCTTCCAGAAAACTGTGACAACAAGATTTGCGGTGGAGCGGAAGAGTGTGTGCCTAATGATACCGGAGCGACCTGTGAATGCCTGAGTGGATTCGTCAGGGTCGCTGGGTCTTGTGTTGGTACGTTGTGCTTGTTCCACCCCCCTCCCTGCCCCTCTCCTCCACATGCGCTGGTTCCTGTGTCGGTTCCTTGTGCTCCACCCCATCACTGCTTGCATTTGCTCCACCCCATCCTCTTTCACGTGTTATCTGTCACTCGTACCTTAGGCTTTCCTCTTCGTTCCAAGTCTGGTATCGAAAGTACTGGAAGGCGATCAGACCTTTTGACTTGGTTTTTTAATTCTGCTGTGGAAGTTCCTCTCTGGAGTGGTTTGCCTTGCCAGGGTAGCTGCGGCCATCTTGCCATGCAGTTGTGATGCCATTCCCATTCCACATTGACCTTTAACTTGGGCCCTCTCTGTCCATGTCGTACCAATGCTGCCTCTGTCCCTCCCTTTCCTCCCCCGTCCGCCTCAGAGGCATGCCCTTTGAACAACTGTGGAGTCAATTCCGTCTGTTACAAGAATGCAGCAAGGGAGGACACGTGTGCTTGCAACGATGGGTACACCAAGACTCCCTTTGGTGACTGCCAGAGTGAGTGTAGCTGCAGCGTCTACGTGGCTGGGTGTAGGCCTTTTGGGAGGGATCAATGCAAGGCATTTTGCATTCAAACTCGGTTTATTTGCTATTGCTACTGTTCGTGAGGATTTCGTTTGTTCCCTTCTTCCTCTTCCCCTTCCCCTCAGAGCCATGCACTGTGAATGACTGTCGAGAGGATTCCTTATGTTACGAGGACATGTATGGGTCTCAATCGTGTATCTGCAACGATGGGTACACCATGACCAGTGATGGCTGCCAGGGTGAGTGTAGCTGGAGTCACTGCATGGCTGGGTGGTGTGCGTCATGTCTCATCCCTCACCCGTTCCCCTTGTCCTACTTCCAACCTCTTCCTCCCTGCCTTCTTCTCTCATTGTCTCCTTTCCTCCCTCTCTTCCTCAGCCTTCCGCCCCCTGCATATCAATGTTTCTTACCGTTCTTAAAACACAGATTAATTTCTCACCATCCCTCCCTCACTGCAGTTACCTGTGACGACTATGGTGGCGGCTGCCCTGGCAATGCTACATGCCACGACCACGTCACCGGAGTCGGCGGGCTGTGCTATTGTGACGTCGGCTTCAGGATGGTTAACGCCAGATGCATCTGTATGTCACACCCTGTACAATTCTCTATGAGGCTTCTCCCCAAACTCTCACTTGTCCATCTCCTTGCTCTTTTTGATATTTTATCCAATTCAGCCCTCGTTTTTTTTGAGTGAGCTAGCTCAACAGCAGACCCATCCTTCTTCCAAAGTCCCACTATGTTAACCCCTAAGCACGAACCCCTACCCATCCGCACGTCCCGCTTCTTTTCTGCCTTTTATACCTTTACTCCCTCTCTCTGTCCCTCTCCCTGGCCCCCTGCATGAATTCAATTTCACTCCTACAGATGTTTGCGAGGAGATGACCTGTCCGGCCAATGCTAGCTGTGTGAACCCTGACGGGGAAGCGGTGTGCATCTGCAACTATGGCTATGAAAAGAATTCAGACGGAACTTGCGTTGGTGCGTATTGGTGCTTTCTTTTGCGTACCTTGATTTCCACAGTTCCTGCCTTGGTAGGCGAGGAGAGGATGTATGCACGCAGGGCAGCATGGACTTAGGTTGGGACTAATTGGAACAACAGATGCCAGGGAAGTACTCAACACCCAGCATCACTGCAGAGCTACTCGCTCTCTAAACCTGGCAATCCTACATGCGACCAGATCACTGGAGCCATCGGGCTGTGCCATTGTGACCTCGGCTTCTGGATGGTTAACGCCAGTTGCATCTGTATGTCACGCCCTGTACAATTCTCTCCAGACTCTTATTTGTCCATCCCCTTGCTCCTTCCGAAACCTATTCTTTAATCCAGCCCTCCTTTCCTTTGAGTGAGCTAGCTCAACTGCAGACCCATCCTTCCCCTGTCTTGCCAGGTTTACCCTCAAGCTGGAAACACTCTCCATCCTCACCTCCCCCTTCATTTCGGCCTCCCCCTTTTCAGCCTTCTATCCCTCCCCCCTTGGGTATTTCTTCCTCTCTCCATCCCTCCCTATACCCCTGCATGGATTCAATTTCACTCCTATCAGACATCTGCGACATGACGACCTGTCCGGACAATTCTACCTGTAACATGGACAGTGAAGGGTACGCAAAGTGCATCTGCAACGAAGGTTACAACCAGAAGCTAGACGGCACTTGCGTTGGTGCGTGTTGGTGCTTTCTTTGCAAACCCCACTTTCCCCTCCATCTCCTGCAGTCTCTACCTTGGTAGGTGAGAAGAGGATGTATGCATGCAGGGCAGTGTGGACTTGGGTAGGGACCAACTGGAACAACACATGCAAGGGAAGTACTCAACACCCAGCATCAGCTACTCGCTCCCTTTTAACATATGGGCTGCTTTACCCTCTCAAACCAAGCAACCAGCGCTATCTTCGTGAGTTGGTTAGCTCGAAAACCAACTTTTGCCAACAAGATTTGTGGCGGAGCGGAAGAGTGTGTGCCGCATGATACCGGTCAACCTGTGAATGCACGAATGGATTCGTCAGGGTTGCTGGTTCTTGTGTTGGTACGTTGTTCTTGTTCCACCCCTGTCCCTGCTCCTCTCCTTCACATGCGGTGGTTCCTGTGTCGGCTCGTTGGGCTCCACCTCATTACTGCTCGCATTTGCTCCATCCCATCCTTTTTCACGTGTTTTATGTCGCTCATACCTTCCGGTTTTCCGCTTCGTTCCATTTAATTGCCATTTAATTGTTATTGCTACTGTTTCTGAGGACTATTTTTGTCCCTTCCTCCTCCCTCCCTCCCTCAGCATCAGATAAGCCACCCACGCCACCCGCGGCACTTGCTTCCTCACCTGCAGCATCTTCTCCGCCACCCACGGCATTTGCTCCGCCACCCGCGGCATTTGCTCCGCCACCCGCGGCATTTGCTCCGCCACCCGCGGCATTTGCTCCGCCACCTGCGACATTTCCTCCGCCACCTGTGGTGTAGGTGTCAGATCACAGCAGTAGCTGAAACCTGATGATTGGAGAGCAGGTGTGCATATCATCTAAATTCTAAATAGTGAACTTGCCAGTAATGAGGCGACGGAAGGGGAAGGTCTGGGAAGGTGCGGCGAACCAATGGGAAGAAGGCAGAGGTGATAACGGAAGGCAATACGGCAATGTGGCGAGGGGTGCACCGGGACGACTCAGCAAAAAGGAAGATTTGGAAGAGGGTGGCAAGAGTCGCAGTGAGGTTTCCGAGATGTACCAAGGCAGTGGACGAAAGAAAGGGTGGAGTGAGCAGGGGTGAGTAGGGGTGAGTATGGGTATTACGTGTCCATGTTTTGGGTTCCTTTGTTTGCAGCAGACACCGAGTCCAAGCCAGCAGGGGCCTGCCGAGCAGCTGGAGGCAAAGAGAGGGCTGCATTTGGATGCCATGTGCAAGAATTTATGGCTTCTAATTGAAGCCTAGCTTCTAGCCGTGGGTAGGGAGGTTAGAGATAGGAGGATTGGGCCATGGGACTGCTACTATTTGTATGTTCTTGATTTCTACTACGTGAATTCAGTAGCTGTTTGTATGTGCTGCTAAACTCAGTAGCAGTCAGGCTCAAGGCCCAGAAAGTGTCGATGGCGGGACCTGAAGGAACGCATGAGCAGGGCCCTAAGTAAGCAGGACACTAGATTCGTTTTAGACCTGGATGATCCTCAGCCTTAGTACGAAAAGAAGCGCTGACAATCAGCACTACCGCACCTAGGAAAAAATCGCTGAATGTTTAGCGTTCGTACCAAAAAACACACTGATTGTGTTTGGTTATAATCTCAAACAGAAGCACAAATTACAGAATCGCCACATTTTTCTTAGTTGGACTAGTTAGGAGTTGCGAGAGGAGCAGATAAGTTAGGGGGCCGGTGGGTGAGAGTAGCAGGTGGGCTGGGGGGAGGGGCGGGAGAGGCACGTGGGCTGAGGAGTGGGGAGAAATAGGGTGGGTGGGCTGAGTGTTGAACTTAATAGACTATGGGGAATGGAGATTAGGTCAACAAGATGTTGGGCTGAGAAAAGCCCTTATGATCGTTTTCAAGACTAAGACCTTGGATGATGATGTATTAGAGGAAGCGTTTTGATGAACTGATTGAACCACCTTGCACTGGTATGAGAACAAGAAAAGTAAATTATACCAAGGCAATTTAAAGCTTTTTATATGAATACAAGGAATATGAAAGGTTTAACTAACGGCTGTTGTAACTGCTGTTGCGGTTTGATATAGCGACGACTCGGGTAACTGCTCAATAGCGAGTCAATTATGTGTCCTTGTTGTCGCGCTGCTTTCGGCGAGTCAAAGGTCGCTGACATTTGACCTTCGATTACCCTCTTGCTATTGCTTCTTCTGTCAACCGCATCGCTGTAGTTTGGTTGACTCACTGTTGCCTCGCTGTGAGTTCGCTTCGCTCACATTATAGTGCTCGACACATCAGAAGCACGAACTATATGTTTCCAACACCCCCCTTTGCTTCTAGAGTGCCGCCGCCTTCACTGCTGGTGACGTGGCTTTGTCCAGTCAGCAGCATGCAGTACTCAAACTTCTGCTTTCCGAGTTTCTTGGTCAAGTATTCTGCTGCCATCTTGGATGTGGGGCAGTCGGTTAGCTCGAGTCTTCCTTTCTTAATCTCTTCTTTCACACAGAAGTATCGCGAGGCGATGTGCTTCGGATTGCCGATTGGTTGTCGCAAAAGAGAGAGAAGCTGTGTAAATTTGCCAGCTTTGCTTCTTCCAGTAGTTTGTGAAGGTACAGTCCTTCCTTGGTGGCTGAGAAGAGTGCAATGTTTTCTGCTACATCTGAGGAGAGAGCAATTAGCTCTTGCTTGCTCGACTGCCACGAGATAGGACGGATAGGCTTGAGTCGATAGATGTAGTCGGTGCGTGATTGCATGTTGTCGCAATCGCCAGCATGGTCGGCATCCACATAGCCGATTAGTTTTGGAATTGTGGTTCCGTTTTTGGTAGGTTAAGCCGACTGTTGGTGTGCTGATGAGCTAGTGCAGCGCGCGATTGAGTTCCGCCATGTGCTCCACTTCGGGCTTCTTGAGATAGGTGGCGAGTTGGCTTTCTGAGTACGACAGGTCCGATCGACAGGTAACGGCTGCAAAGAGCAAGCATTCCGGCTTTCGTTGGTAGTCGCGTAGGCCGGCAGGATTGAACGGAGTAGATTCTTCCTTATAGTTTCACGCGGTGTAGCGATACGACGTGGAGATGGCAGCTGGGGTTAATCCGAAGCGTTTTGCGATAGTGTCTGTGTCAGAAATAACTGAGCAGGAATGAATGAACTAGAACAGAGTTTGGTACAAGTAGGAAACCCTAACTTTGTGTACCCCCTAAGGTGTAACCCACTACAGCCTAGACAATATAAACATGCAATGTTTGACACACCCCCATAGGCGCAGTGGGAGACAACCACAGGGTCACAAGACCAGTCAAAGCAAAGCAAAGCAAGCTCAGGGTGGATCTCAAGGATTCCACACAAATTCCGAGCACAAGCAAGCGGTCACAAGACCAGTTCACATGCAGGTTTATAACAAAGCAAGAGATACAGTGATCACAACCTAGCAAAAGTAAACAAGTAGGCATACATATATATAGTGATCACAGTACAAGCAAGGTCAAGAGGTAAGCAAGTGAGGCCCAGTAGGTACAAGGCCTAGCAGAGTGCAAAAGCGCTGATGGTCACAAGGCTGAAGCGCCTTGGTGAACACATCAGCAGTGTTGGCCTCCGTGGCCACGTAACGCAGACAAAGCTGACCACGCTGCTGCAGCTCTCGAGCAAGGAAGTACCGCAGAGCGATGTGCTCGTTCTGTGCTCCAGTCTGTGCTCCTCACACAAGGCAATGGCAGCCTTGTTGTCGACGTACAGCACTGGAGGAGAACGAGGCCGCTCTCCGAGGTCGGTCAGCAGGTAGGTCAGCCAGCGTAGCTCCTGAGCAGCCATGGCTGTGGCGTAGATCTCAGCCTCACAACTGGAGCTGAGAACAGAAGAAGAGCGAGTAGAACGCCAAGAAACTGAGCCAGAGCCAAGGCTGAAGGTGTAACCCTGGGACGACCGCTGAGTAGCCTGGTCGTCTGCCCAAGAAGCGTCTGAGTGCCCTGTGAGAACAACCCGGTCTCGCCCTCCAAGCACAAGCCCCATGCCCGACGTACTGCACAGGTAGCGCAACACCCTCTTAGCAGCATCCATGTGCTCCTTCCGGTGACGGCCAGGAGCGACATAGCGTGCTAGGATGCTAAGAGGGTATGCAAGGTCAGGTCGAGTGCAGGTCATCAGGTACATGAGGCAGCCCACAAGCTCTGGATACGGGCCACTCGGCTCTACGGACTCATCCGAAGGCAGAGCTGAGAGCGAGTGACCGGTAGGCAGAGGAGTGGACTGAGGCGAGGAGTACGTGAAGCGGAAGCGCTGGAGAACCTGCTGCACCATGTGTGACTGAGTCAGGGTGATGGTGCGCCGTGCTCTGTCCCGGGTGATCCGCAAGCCAAGATAGCTCGTCAGCTCACCCAGGTCTGTGCACGTGTGTCTCCTCTGCAGCTCCGACTTCACGTGAGCGAGTGCCGCGGTGTCAGCAGTGGCAAAGACTAAGTCGTCGACGTACACGAGGATGTAGAACGGCGGCAGCGAGGTGTCGGTGCGTAGAAACAGCGACGGGTCAGCAGTAGAGGGAGCGAACCCAAGAGCCGCAAGTGTCGTCCTCAGTGTGTCATGCCACTCACGTGGCGCCTGGCGGAGACCGTAGACCGGCCGCTGAAGCCTCCACTGGGTGCCAGGAGGAACTGACCCAGTGAAGCCAGGGGGGCGGCGCAGCCAGATCTCCTCGTGCAGGCTGCCCTGCAAGAAAGCAGTGCTGAAGTCAAGAGAGTGAAGCTCGTAGTCGCGGTGAGCGGCTATGTGCAGCAGCACCCGAAGAGTAGTCATCTTCGGGGTGGGGGAGAAGGTCTGAAAGAAGTCTACTCCCTCTCGCTGACTGAAGCCTCGAGCCACGTAGCGCGCCTTGAAGACAGGCGGAGAACCCGGCGGCCGCTTCACCCTGAAAATCCACATGCCACTGACGATGTTCGCCCCAGGAGGGGGAACCTCGTCTACGTAGGTGCCTGTGGACTTCCAGGAGGCCATCTCTGCGTCCATGGCTGTCTGCCAGTGAGAGGAGTAGGGACCCGCCATCGCCTCAGCGTAAGAGCGTGGGGTCGGGATGTCTGGTGCATCCGGGTCTCCCTCAGGGGCAACTAGCAAGGACACGAGACGGGGCAAAGCAGCAGCAAGGCAGTGGAACTCCTCCTGTCTGTCCTCAAGGACGTCCGTGCCGAGGGCACACTCACCCCCGACGGACGGAGGACAGGCAGACGCAGACTCAGACCTAGCGACAAGGCTGGCAGCGTAGTCTAGGCGACAGCGAGCAGCAAAGTCAACCAACTCAGCGACCAGAGCAGACGCAGCAGAGGACTCAAAGGTCGGGTCAGTGACAACTGTAGCGAGGAGACGCGTAACAGTGGGACTGGCAGCACGACGGGAGTCAGACTCCGGGTCAGGAAGAGTAGGAAGAGAGGACGCAGGAGGAGACGGCAGCGGGACGCGCTGCGGAGCAGTGGAGGGACGTAGAGTCATGTAGTGAGTGCCAGGGACAGGAGGAGGACGCTCACGTGGGACACGACGACCAGTGCGAGCAGTACGAACAGGCGACGCAGGACGAGACTCAGGCTCACGTCGCTCTGTAAGACCTCCTGTGGGACCAGCGTAAGGAGAGGGAGCAGGGAGAGGCGAGACAGGCGGTAACTGTGACTGCGGCTGGACAGGCAGAGGACACTCGACGGAGGGAGGAGGACTAGGAGGAGGAGCCTGACCAAGAACCTGCTGAAGGAGCGGTACGAAGTACGGTCGCGGCCGCGCAGCGTCTCCAGAAGCAGCAGGGACACCAGTGGCAGCCCCAACGCCCGAGTCCTCAGCACCAGCAGCAGCTCCAACGCCCGGGTCCTCAGCACCAGTAGGAGCTCCAACGCCCGAGTCCTCAGCACCAGCAGCAGCACCACCGGTCGGGTCCTCAGCACGAGCAGCAGCTCCAACGCCCGGGTCCTCAGCACCAGCAGCAGGGGCACTGGTCAGGTCCTCAGCACCAGCAGCAGCGCCACCGGTCGGGTCCTCAGCACCAGCAGCAGCTCCAACGCCCGGGTCCTCAGCACCAGCAGCAGCTCCAGCATCCTGGTCCTCAGCACCAGCAACAGCACCACCAGGCTCCGCACCTCCAGGCTCCGCACCTCCAGGCTCCGCACCTCCAGGCTCAGCACCCCCAGGCTCCGCACCTCCAGGCTCAGTACCTCCAGGCTCCGCACCTCCAAGCTCAGCACCCCCAGGCTCCGCACCTCCAGGCTCAGCACCCCCAGGCTCCGCACCCTCAGACGCAGCACTCCCAGGCTCAGCACCCCCAGACGCAGGACGCGAGTCAACAGCTACCTCGACAGGCTCACCCGGGTCTACCTGGGACACACCTGAGGGAGCGGCACCCTGAGGGGGGAGGGGGTCTGGTACCTCAGCACCTGGAGCGAGGAAGAGAGGCGAGGGGGGGAGCGGGGCAGTGCGGTAGGGGAAGAGGCGGTAGAAGGGGACGGACTCGTCAAAAGTGACGTCCTGAGAGGCCAGAACCCGGCGCGAGGTGACGTGGTAAAACTGCCATCCAGGCGCGTCGGGAACAAAGCCAAGAAAGACACAGGGAACAGCGCGACGCGAGAGCTTGTCCGCGGACGTGTCGCGGACAAAAGCTCGAGATCCCCAGACCCGGAAACGCGACGCATCGCCAACCTCTCCCGTCCACCGTAGAGTCGGGGAAGTCTCCGGCAAGGAGACACGGGGCCAGAGGTTGAGCTGATGCGCTGCGTACCGGACCGCAAACGGCCACAGAAAGTGGGGAGCAGCCGCATGGGTCAGGGAGGTACGAGCGACCTCCATGACTAAGCCAATGCGGCGCTCAGCAACTCCATTCTGCTGTGGAGAGGCCGGAAGCGTGTACGACTGCTCAATGCCGTGCTCAGCACAGTAGGCTGCCAAGAGGTCGGAGGCGAACTCACCACCCCTGTCAGAGTGCAAGCGCAGGACAGGAAAGTCCGAGTGAAAGCGCTCGCCTAGCTGGAGACGGGCTCGGCTGATCCAGGGGATCAAAACACCAGGGACGTCACCCTTGGCGCGCAAGGGGAAGACCGTGGTGTAGCGCGAGTAGTCGTCAACAACTATCAGGAAGTACCTCTCCTGACCCTGACCACGGACGCGGGCTGGGCCCCACACGTCCATGTGGAGCGTCTGCAGGGGAGCGGTCGTCGGGGGAAAGGAGGAGGAGTGAGGAGCGGCGCGCTGCCGCCCCTCGACACAGGGAATGCAGTCAGGAGCAGGGGAGTCAGGAAGGGGAGGGAGCACCCTGGGAAGACCAGCAACAAGGTCCCGTTTGTGCATGGCCCGCAGGCGCTGCACAGACGGGTGACCAAGGCGGTGGTGCCAGAGGACGGTGTCGTTCGCCAGAGAGCGACACGAGCAGGGGGCGGACAGCTGACCTGACGCTGACGCAGACGCAGCTACCTGAGGGGACTCAGTAGTCAGTGTGTACAGGTCAGACCCCGGCTCTCGAGTGAAAGTAGCCAGGTGGCGGCCCGTCCGAGCACACGTGCAGTGAGTCACACGCTCGTAGGCAGGGGTGAACTGGTGAACACCCGAGTCCTGGAGCGCACTACCTGCCACCAAGTTCGTGGAGAACGAGGGGAGGTAGAGACCTGAGAGCGTGCCGGACGGAACCGCTGGACACGGAAGGGTGGTGGAGGAGGTCGCAAGGACCGGACCCCCAGAGGGGTCAGCAAGAGAGACAGCAACCGGCCGAGCTAGAGGCTCAAGGACAGTGCGGTCACGAAAGAAAGAGCGAGAAGCACCTGAGTCCAGTGTGAAGGTGTGCAGTGCTGCAGTCGACTCAGTACCAGGGGGCACAGACGCACAAGCACCTAGAGTAGCAGCTGCAGTAGTACCAGTGGAAGCAGACACACTAGCACCTAGAGCAGCAGCGGGGCTGGCCTGAATGCCCGGGTCGGGCGGAACACGCAAGTACTGAGCACCCTCTCCACTAATAGACATCGCATACATGGCAGTGAGAATAGCATCAAAGTCAAGTGCCCAAATATCAACACCCTTCCTGAGCAGATCAGCCCAGCGCGGCAGCTCACCCCCACCAGGAAACTGAGTGCGCCACGCATCGTTGAGGCGGGCGAAGCAGCGCTCCGTCTGGTGCGGCCCCCCACACGTCTGGCCAGTGCGGTCACCTGTACGAATAACGTACTGGCAGGTGACGCTGCGCCGCGCATACCACTCACGGGCGGCCTGAAGGGTCGGGGCAGGCTGCTGACTCTGACCGCCCCCCGGGCCTCCACGACCACCACCCCCTCCGCCTCCGCCCCGGCCACCTCCACCCCTGCCGCTGCCACGACCACCTCCGCCTCCGATGCCACCTCCGCCCCTGTCACCACTCCCAACACCGCTGTCACCTCCACCACCGCCGCCACTAGCCTCTCCAGTCGCACCTCCACCGCCACCACCTCCACCCCCGCCTCCTCCGCCACCACCCCCACTCCTGCCACTCCTGCCCCTGCGTCGTCCGCCTGAAGCAGACGCAGCCCCGACCTTCTCAGCACCAAGGAGGTCGACAGCAGCAGCAGAGGCGACAGAGGGGAGGAGGGGGGAAGGGGAGCACCCCTCGAAGAAGGGGCCGCGGGGGTCGCCACGAGAGGTGCCTACAGCGACGATACTAGCCTCGGCTGCAAGCAGTTCCTTCTCGAGGAGGGCTATGGTGAGCTCAGTGGGGGAGCGAGAGAGGAACTGGTCCCTGACAGGGCGCAGAGAGTCAGGGAGGCGGGTGACAACGTGGTAGAGAGTGATCCAGAGCGGGGGGGGGTTGTTGGCGAGGAACTCATCAGGCATGGCAGCGCGAAAGCGAGCCTCACTAGTCTTAAGGTGGGTGATGAGGTCTGCGACAGTGTGAAAAGAGGCTAGGTCGGGGAACAGGTAGGGGAGAGTGAGGCGGCCTAGTGTGGCAGAAGCGGGTGAGGAGTAGCGGGCCACTACAGCTGTGTAGAGGTCCTTAGCAGTCTTGCATTGGCCGAAGTGCTCGCGCTCATCTAGCGGCAGGGAGTTGCGAATAGCAAAGCGAGCGTGCGCGTCACGGGTCTGCCACTGTGAGCGCTCAGCTGGGGGGGCAGTAGCGAGTGGGGCGGTCGCATGGCCGAGAGCGTGGTCGTACAGTGTAATATCTTCCTTGGCAGTGAGCTGTAGGAAAAGGTGCAGGTCATCTAGCCAGGTTTCGAATTTGACCGGACGGCCCTCGGCGTCGAAAGCTAGAACAGGAGGACTAGCCATAGCGACAGCGGCAGTAGTAGAAGCAGTAAAGTCACTGAACAGGCGTGCGCAGGGTCAGCAGGGCCGGTGGGGCCTACGGACTGTAGTGGCGCACAAGCAGCAGTAGCAGGAAGTGTAGTAGTAGGATCTGCAGTGGTGCACAGGCGCAGCAGGCGGCAGCGAGAGCCGGCGCAGCAGGGGCGGGCTCAGCAGCGGTGATACGCGGGCGGCAGCGGGCGCAGCAGCGGCGGTGCGCGGGCGGCGGCGGGCTCAGCAGCGGCGGTGCGCGGGCGGCGGCGGGCTCAGCAGCGGCGGTGCGCGGGCGGCTGCGGGCTCAGCAGCGGCGGGCCGGGAGCAGTGCGGGCAGCGTGCGGGCCGGCGGCGGTCAGCGCACGAGCCGCGCAGGCTCAGCGCGGGCTGCGCGGGCTGCTCGCGGGCTGCGTAAGCGGGTCGCGGGCGGCTCGCGGGGGTTCGCGGGCAGGTCGCGGGCTGCTCGCGGGCAGTTCGCGGGCTGTGCGCGGGCTGCGCGGGCTGGTCGCGGGCTGCGCAGGCGGGTCGCGGGCTGTGCGCGGGCGGTTCGCGGGCTGTGAGCGCGGCGCGCTGTGCGGTTCGCGGGCGGCGTGACGGGGCCGATCGGGGCGCTAAGGGGCGACGCGACGGGGGCCGTGAGAGGCCGCTAGGAAAAAAAAAATTTCGACGGGGCCGCAGGGCCGCTAGATCGTGCTAGATCGACGGGGCCAGCGGGGCCGGAAACAAGCGAAGGTAAGCAGGTAGGTAAGTCGGTGGGCCCTAAGAACAGTCCTAGCGAAGGACCTGCTCTGATACCATGTCAGAAATAACTGAGCAGGAATGAATGAACTAGAACAGAGTTTGGTACAAGTAGGAAACCCTAACTTTGTGTACCCCCTAAGGTGTAACCCACTACAGCCTAGACAATATAAACATGCAATGTTTGACAGTCTGCGTACTTTGCAGCGTTGAGGTAGATCGCGTTCTCTCTGTCGAGTATATTGAGTCCCAGGTATTGGGTTACGGTGGAGGAGACGGTGAGTGTGAGGTCTTGCTATAGCTCCTCTTCGAACCAGGTGGTGATGCCATCGGTGGAGCCTATGTAAAGCAGATCGTCTACGCAAACGATAAGCATGATATATTCAGCGGCCTTTGTGAGTCTGTACATTCCCTGATCGTGTGGCAGTTGACGAAAGCCGATGCGGATTAATCGGGCGTGCAAGTACTGATGCCAACAGTCGTGGGGCTTGTTTGATGCCATATAGTGAGTTCAGTAGCTGACAGACTTGATTAAGGTTTGTGACGGATCCATGCGGCTGTTTGACGGGAGCGTAGAGGAATGTGTTGGCCACGTCGATTTTGCGGAGCTTCTTCCGTTTCATGGTGGCTACCGCGAGAAGAATTCGCAGAGAGGAATGTCGACTGACCGGCGTGAAAGTCTCGGTGAAGTCTCGCCCGTGCTCTTGGTCAAAACCGCGCACGACCAATCATGCTTTGAATTTGTCGATTGTCCCGTCAGCTTTTGTCTTCACGCGAAAGACCCATTTTTCCGTGAGTATGGTTTTGTTGCATGCCACTTCGATAGGTACTATCTTCTAGGTGTTTTGTCTTCCAGCGCTTTTTACTCCTTGTCCATGGCTTCGCACCATTTTTCCCTGTGCTTTCCCCCCCATAGCCTGCTCGACTGTAGTAGGCTCTCGCGGGCGGCGATTCTCCATAAACAGTGGTGATGAGGCCGAGTATCTGTTGTCCACTCTGTGTGCGTCAGGGGAGACTTGAATCCTCGGGATAGACTGCTTCGTCTCCCGCTTCTAGATCAGGTAGGAAATTGAGGCCTACGCATTCTAAGACGTTGGTGTTGACCATCTGGGGTGTAATGTAACCATTATCGGCGAAGTCGCAGTGAACTTCGGCGTTGATGCTTTCGCGAGGGTTGTCTTTATCCATCAAAATGGGTACCGAATAGTAGGGCAGAGGTCCGTCTTCTTCCGATGCTCCGTCCACGTTTTGCTCATCTCAGTCAGCCTCATCTGCGGGTGAGGCGAAGGCTCGGTTGCCACGGAATCCGCCCGTGGGGTCTCGTTTTGCTACCAAGTTTTCCAGGTACGTTTAGAGGGTGAGTTGTTTGAAGAAAATCACATCACGTGCTACTTTCTTTTCTTCGAGTGGAAGTAAAAAATCGTCCACATGTTTTAGTGCTTTTCTATGCCCATATGTAGGCCCCACTGTGCGCGTTGTGAGAATCAGCTCGTGCAGTGTGGGGTCAGTACTGTACCATGCAGCCAAAGACCCGTAACTTTTTTGTGCTGCCCAATTTTCATGTCTACAACAGATGCGGTGATGCGTTGTTCGGGAGCGATGATGACGAGAGCAGGTTGTGCAGCAGTACAGCGTGGTCCATCGCATCGGGCCACTGGTGGTTGGGTAGTCGCATGCCACGTAGCAGCTTGCGCATGGTGTTCTGGAGGGTCATGTTCAGTCATTCTCCTACACCTTGCTGTTGATGAGCGTAGTGAAGAGAGCCTCTCTCTGCCAAGTATTGCGAACCTCTGTGATTGATATTCTCCTCCCCCGTCTGACTGAAAGCTTTTCAGCTTCACTCTTGATTCTCGTTCTGCTTTTGAAAGCCAGACGACAAAGGCTTCTAAGGCCATTCCGCGACTCGAAGGTTGAGGTGTCAAACATATCTGGTGACAGCGTTGATGAACGTGATGACGTAGTTGTATGCTCCCTGTCCGCTTTCGCGAGCGTATAGTATGTCGCTGTAGACTTTCTCCAGTGGTGCGTATGCTGGTGCGCTTGGGTTGTGGTGAGAGACGAACGGCTGATGGGGTAAGTCGGCTTCCGTGAACTCGTTGAAGTTCTCTGCTGTCTGGTAGGAGTAGTTCATCCTTGTCGAGGACTCCTGCTCCTATCGTGTTATCCACCCTCGTGTTGCTGGGATGCCCTAACCTTTCATGCCACAATAATTTGTTGGCGTGATATCTGGGTGATCCTCTGTACAGATCCGAATTGGAGTAAAAACACGCGTTGATATTGGCACTTCAGTGGACGTCGCATGGAGCGGGAGTCAGCTGCTGAGCAAGAGTCGGTGTAGAGTCGTTGATGGGAGGTGGTACTGTTGAAGGGCTGGCGATCGGTGTAATTGTCTGTGTTGTTGCTTCTCCGGGTGTTGTCTCTGCTTCTACCTGTGTTGTTCCTGCTTCTGCCGGTGTTGTCTGCCAAATTGTTGCTAACGCCCTTGTCTGTTCTGCTTCAGGTATAGTTTGCGAGTACCAGAATCCTCCGGGGTTAAAATCGGGGTCGAGATCTGGCGGGTGTGTTTAGGTGGTGAAGATAACTATTGCGTCGCTGTTGGCGGTTCCTTGGTCTGAGATGAAGTCGAGGACGAAGATATTGTTCTTCAAGACCGCCTTCCCGATGTAAAGTCCGCCCTTCCCGTGGTACAACATGAACTCCTAGGTGGTGCTGTTGGCTTCGAGGTGAATCCCTTTTGCCATGAGTTGGCTGATGCTAAGTAAGTTGTAGTCGAGTCATTCTGCAATAACAACCTTGACATTTACAGGATGACGTTGGTCTTGCGCGAATGAAGTTGAACCACTCATTGTGATCGTGTGTGCAGGTTCTGATTGTTGACGACGGTTATCATGACTTCGTGGTTGAGACGTTGTTCCCGTTGAACGAAGCGATTTAAAGAACACATGTGTTGTCCACAGGAATTGCTTAAAAACCAAGGGTAATTCCGG